TTCTGTTGTAGCTAACCAACCTGTTGTAGGGGGAGAGGGCCATTACTGCAAGGGGGTGCCCAGCTTGCAGTGCATTCTGAGAAACAAGCATATTTCTTGCAGCCTGCATGAGGGACCAACATATGAAACATTTTTTTTCTTTTTTTTTTCTGCTCCAAGATTGAACAGTGTTGAAAATAGCAAACGCTTACAGAGGTGCCTCCAGCCAGGCAAACAAACACTTTCTTTTTCCTGGCTTTCCTGGTCCACATCCTGTTGCACATTGGAGGGGGCTCCCCCACAAGCGCTTGTGTTCATTTGTTGGCAGCAGGCACGCTTGCCAAAAGTCAGCTAGGTCTCAAAGGACACTGCATTGCTTACCAGCCCAGGATGAGAGCCTGAAAACCTACGAGCTTTCAAAGGGCTGTTTATACAATAAGACCTTTGACAATGCCCTCAATCACAGCTGCTGTAGAGTGTTTGGGCAGTGAATTTGTAATTATAAAATCAGGCACAGGTGACACACACAAGCTCCCTAAACCAGCTTAAGGCACACATTGTATTTCACAGCTGCAGCTATCTGAACAGTATGACACAGAAACTCTGAAGACCCTGAACACTGAGAAGCTTATTTCACTTCACCATTTCAGGTCAATAGCTTTGAGAAGTAAAACTGTGAAAGCAGCTAGAAGTAGCTTGTCCTGCCAGGCTGTTGGTTTCTTTACTTTCAGATTCACTGTTGTCTGTGTTTTTGTTGCCTATGTGTGAAAGCTATTTCACTTGCCTCAATGAATCAGCTAGGAAGGGGGAATGCAGAGAAATTACCTGGGTTTCTGGAGAAACATTCAGGTTCAGGTACATTGTATTCTGAGTAACCACTTCATAAGTAGAAGAATAGGCTGGGAAAACTTCAGGCTGAGAAAGACTTAGGGGCAAAAAGGCTAGTATGAAGTGAGATTAAGCAAAAGCTGCAGGAGCTGACTCACATCATGCTTAGCATCACAAGATAGGTATCTCAATCAGAGCAGCTAGTGCATTTTTACAACACGATATCAATTCACTGTGCTTTTTCCTGGATATCAGTTTTATGCAGTCATGCTGCATGTAAGCAAATCGCTCACTAGCAATTTCTCAGCATATTTCAATCAGATTTCAAATAGGAAAGGAGGCTTTAGAGATAACATTTTTCCATTAATTTCCTTAAATTGATCATAATAAGAAGTGAGAAATCCTGTAAGTATCCCTACTAAGGAAAATGCTAGAGAGTGCACTTGTATCTGATTAAATGTAACAGGATCCACATGCAAGTGAGATTTTCTAAATGTCCCAGAGGAGGAAACAGCTCTCATCACATCTCATACCTTCATCATCATGAAAACCATCATTGCATAAGGCATGTCCTGGAGGAACCATGGAAGTTTCCTTGGTTCTGGTGCTTTGCAAGGGACTTGCTTGAAGGTGATTTTGTCTTGTCACGCTGAGGTTAAAGTGTGCTTTAAATTCCTGGTAATGAAAGCTTACTAGGAACCATAGGGCCAACCTCCCCACGTCTTTTTTCTGTTTTGGTCATTGTCTGAACAGCTTAGGCAAAGCCACATGGAAAGTCTGTGATACAGCCTTAAAGCCAGAAATCATACTGACTTAAATAACTGTCAGAAGTGAACCCAAAACTTTCTTGATTTGAACACTGCAACTGAAAAATCTTTGTAACATTTAATTAAAAAATATGATTCTTCACAAAATTAAAGGTGTAAACTAAAAGAGGAAAGGAACTGAAATCAATGCACTTGAAGGAAAAAAGGAGCACCAATGAGTATCTGGCCATGTCTGTCAAACTCTTAAAAACTGAGGTTTGCTGAAGCTTTGATGCCCAAGCTGTGCCACAAAGAGTCCTTGCCCATCACTTTTCTTGCCTTGGCATGCAAGGGCAAAACCTTGTCCCCATCTCCTGTCTTCCCCCCCCTGGGTCAGCTTGGGCTCTCACAGGAACCCTCCAGGAGTTCATTTATCTCCTTGGGAAGGCAAAGAGGCTCAGCTGTCTACAGCACTGCAAACTCAAGTCAGAGAAATGATTTGCCGTGATGTTAAGCTGAGGAACAACTACAAAACAGTAAGGCTATAAGGACGTATCTATCCTGGCAATTAGTATTTTCCTATTGGGACAAGGACTCCAGAATTTCCTAGCAAGTGGAAAATACCATGGAAAGGCACATGAGTGAAGTTTAGGCAGGATGGACCGGACTTGAGCATCTCTGCATTGAATAGGCAGGTTTTCTAAGATGAACCTCAGCATTTCCCTTCCTTGTACCATCTCTTTGCAAATGTCAGCTAAACAAAGGACAAGCTACTCCTCCTTCTTTGAGTGGGATGGAGGGTAGGAATTCGAAAAGGATGGGGTCATTTTTCTTAATTTTACCTTTAAAATGTCGAATCGTGGTACTTACCACTTGTTACAAATTTTTGTGCTTTTGGTTGTTAAAAGCTATTTTTTTTTCTTGTGAGAAAAGCCTGCCAACAGAGACCACTAATGAACTGAGAAGGCGGTGATCCACTGATGTGTGCAGATGGGCTGAAAGATGCTCCAGAGAACACCAAGTTTGCTATTAACTCTCAGTAAAATGTTTGAAGAATACTCACGTACATTTTTGTACGGCTTTTTTAACTAATTTGCTTCTGACGATTAGCTGTCAGAAGATCTCTTAATTACACACATTTGGACTATGACAGACAGATGTTAAAATGCTAACTGACTCCTAAGCAAGTTCTCATCTTTTTTCTGCTTTTGTAATAATAATGCTTTCTACTGTTAAACTGCTCAACCACTTCAAGATTAAAAATGTAAGGCCATCGAAACAGTCATTTGATTGACTACCAAATTAAATCTCAGAAAAGACTCTATTGTTGTGTCTGCTGTCATCATCACATTTAAATATGGAAAACATCTATTTTGAATTTGTTTGAGCTCCTGCAAATTGACTCCTCTTCAGGGATATTTTTGAATAATCTGTGTAGTAAGAATTTGCAAACTTAATGACAATGGCTGCTAGAAGTTTATAGGCAGCTATTTAAGAAGAATGTGTGAGTTCTGAGAAATAAGCTTTTCATAGAAATGCAGAACTGCCATATAAAAAATTTTGGAATCTTTTAACATTTCAGTCATCATGTACACAAGGACATTTCTGTGAATGTGGTTTGTTTCACATGTCAGTTGTACAGCTATTTGTCTCTCTTTGTTGGGGGGGAGGTAAAACTACTTCTAGAGAAAAAATACTTTTTTTCTTGAGTTTTTGTTGTTTTGTTTTGGTGTTTTTCATTAAAAACCCACCACATATTGGCATAAAATACTAGAGCAAGTTCTTTTTAAACTAAAGCTGTTGGTGTAAGTCAGATTGCAGCATCCCTTCCCCTCTCTTTTCACCACAATGAATAGGCGACCCACGGTGCAACATCAAACACTCAGCTACTTTCCCTGAGGGGAAGCTCTGTACCCAGACTTGGTCTCCTACTGCTCTACATCCAATGTCTGTGCAGTGCTGGCCAACTCATCTAAGTAGAGACACTGAGTTAGACACTCAGCTAGAGCTAACTGATACAAAATGGTGAGAAAATTTTCATCTAAAACATCATTCGTCTATACAACTTAAATGCTTGAGTCAGGGCTACATAAAATGTTTTGTGGTCTGTTTTGAGTATGTGTATAAGAGTAAGCTAACCAGCATCAGGTCAGTGCAGTGGTCACAAGCCCAAGTGCCACAGTATGGACACACTTGTGCTATTTTAACCTGTTAGCCACCAAAACAGGACAGCTAGCCCAAGCTGCTGAGGGGGAATAGACTCCAGTCAGCCCCTACTAACTCCTTGGGAATTATTTGGGAGAGCGGTAGTTGATTCGTGCCAAACCTACATCATATCTGAAAATATGAGTCTGCTCAGGTGCCTGGGACTGCTCTGGCACAGTCTCACAGCTGGTATGGAGGCACCCTGCAGACACCTGCCTGACCCACGTGCAGGTTGGTACAGTGCTCTTTGCGCTGTGAAAAACACAAGTGTTAATTCCTATTTCTTGGGCAAAAGTTTTACTCCTATGCTAATATGCAGGCACATGGTAACACATTGGCCTTTGGTTCCCCAAATTACATTTTCCGAATATGGTAATTTACCAGTATTTTACTGGTGCATGAGTGTTAGATGTGCTCTGAGCATGTTTGCTAGAGAAAACCTCTTGGAGACACACATATCTCAGTCAGGTTCCAGAACCCAAATAAGTTTAGTCTTAAGCTAGTCATCACCACAGGCAATGATAATTACGCGTACAGACAGCATTTAAACAGCCAACGTGTAGGAAGCCACAAATAGGACAAGTCACACCTATTCTTAGTTGTGGAAGCTAGCCTAACTTTGATGGGACAAATGACCTTCAGGAGTTGCCTTCTGTCCTTCAGCTTCAGGGGAAGTTTGAATTATTAGCTTAGCCAAGATGCTTAATATTCAGACACATGAGGACAGGTGAACTGAATTTTACTCTCCCAGACTTCAGTCTATCTATGCATTTAAATTACATAGTTAAAACATATTAAATGCCCCTAAAAGCCATAGGGCAAGCACTTAAGGGGTTAGTTACATAGGACTCTAACAGACACATTTTTGAGAAGCTCAGCATAGCAAAGCAATTAAGGATACTTTTAAACTGACTGTACATGTTCTCTGCTGGATCATAGCCACAGCAGTGACACTATAATCATGTATTCGTGTCTCCAGCTGTGGGGGTTTGCAGGTAGTAACACAACTGAGACTCTCCTGAGTTTTCTTCACAAAACCAAACAGAACCTGACTAAAAGCAATGTGGAGACCCAGCTCCTGCCCAATCCTTCCATCTCCAAAGTTTTAGATTGCTAACACATATACACTGTAAAATATACAGTTGTTGCATGCTTTTACAACTTAAAATCTTTTTAATATACCATTAGGCAACATTAATGTGTGTGTTTTCTTACATTTTTTGCATGGTCTTGAAAACTTACCCATATAGGGTTTTGTGCCAGCCATAGAAGAAGCTTTTTCTGAGCCTTTCACTATGGTTGCTATGTTGAAGTCAGTGATATGAACATGTCCTGCAATTACACAAAGTAAAAACAGAAGATAAAATAGGACATCATACAAATATTCCTTCCTTTGTTTAACACTTAAGTGATAATGGAAAGAAGTTAAATTGGGAATATTCATAACTATCCATGAAAACTTAAAATTAAATGTTGTTCATAACTAGAAAAATCATATTGGCAGCAAAGTGGTGGAATATTTTCCTGTATGGTTGTGTCCACTATGTGCTCTCAGTGCTGAACCTTTTTTGCTGGTCACGCTTGAACCTCCTCCTGCTGTGAATGTTAGGGATACTAAGTGGCTAGGAACAGAAGCAGTGCTGAATTTTGTGAAGCTATGTGTGAGATCTGCCTCTCCTTATCTCCAGCCAGAGCCACTGCTCACACTCTCAGGTACTCGTGACACCTGTCTGCTGTCACTTCTACTTCAGATTATGATCAGCCTGGCTTGTTCTGAGACTCCTCAGGGCAAAAAGGAAGCTGAAAAGAAAAATGGTATTTTTATCATACAATAACTATAAAATTAGATCCATGGTAGCAGAAGAGCGTGTATGTAACAGCAGCAGGTCTCAAATGATCGCTCGTTTGACAGCAGGTTGCGAGATGAAAGATAAGTGACACAAGTCAGCCTGCGGACTTGCTGCCTGACCAGCCAGACAGCTGATTTCAATTGAACTAATCAGGTCAGATGGCCCAAACCTGCTGTCATAATTTTTTCCTGGGGTGGTTTACAACAAGCACAGGTTAAATTGCTCACCACAGAGAAGCCATAGTTGTTAATCCTGGCTTGTTGTATGCAGGTAAACTAAATTCAAATCCAGCCTGAAAATGTATCTGCAGACTTTTAATTTGATAAGTCTGCTGTTAGGTTTTGCATCTTCCACTTAAGGACTAGTATATTGTGGATTGAGCAGATATTATGCTCTCTGTGACTACATCTGCCAATGCCATTGTGGAGGACGGAGTACAGGGAAAGGTACTCCTTTCCCCAGCTTAGCCCTGCACTCAGATCAAGATTAATACATCATGTGCTGAACTGGACTCCTGAGTGACATGTTCCTGTGATTTTTTTTTTTTTTAATCAAGATTTCAACCTCATTCAGTCCACAGACTGGAGCAGGCTTTAGGCATGATGCAGTTATTAAGCAAGGGCGGTTGTTATTGTGTTTGCTGCCAAAGATGAAAAGAGTGTAACAAATGACTGATGTTGAATGTTACCACAGTGCCCGACTGAGGAACAGCAGTCTCAGCAAAAGATTGTGCTGCTCCAACTGT